TCCTTCTCCGGGAAATTATTCCCTTGTTTGGAATTCCTGCCTCTCTCCAGTCTGATAATTGTCTGGAGTTCACCTCCCAGATTTCCCAGATACTAGCTAAGGCTCTTAATATTCCTTGGCATTTTCATATTCCTTACCATCCTCAGTCCTCAGGGAAGGTGGAGTGCACCAACCGGTCTTTAAAATCCATCCTTACTAAGATGTCACAGGAACTTCACCTAGACTAGGTAACATTATTTCTTCTAGTTCTTTTTAGGCTCTGGGCCCTTCACAACTGGCCCCTCTCAATCTCCCCATTTGAACCGACATATGGGAGACTGGCTCTAACACCAGGCATCCTATCCAAGTCTTCACCCCTCCCAGATGACCTCTTAACCCCCTTACTCTGTCATCTTTGTTCTCTCCTATGGAATTTCGCTGATCATTCCTTACCCCAGCCATGTGACAGTCCTTGCCCACTCCAAATCCACATTGGAGATCAGGTCCTTCTTTCTACTCTAGGCCAGTGGCCCTCACCCCTTTCCCCTAAATGGCAGGGACCCTTCAAGGTAATTCTTGTAACCCCCACAGCTGCTAAGCTCAAGGGCTTCCCACACTGGATTTACTTGTCCCATCTGAAGTCTTTTATCTCACTTTCAACCCAGAAGAATTCCTCCTCATACACAGTGACACACACAGAGCCTTGTTCTCTCAAGTTCCAGAGGACACCAGGATCCACTGCCTTGTCACCAATTCCAGAAGAATGAGGTTTCACCCTACAAGCTTTTCCTTCCTGGTTCCCTCTCCTAATTAATCATTCAGCTAATTGTTACAAGACCACCATAGAGCTGGAGGCCAAGGACCATCAAGTGTACCCAGGCAGTAAGAAACAATAACAGTCCAAGGGTATTTACACCCCCAGACCCAAAGGGTCTGGACTCTGCAAAAAAACAGACTTTAATATAACAATCTATTCCTGTTAAATGCCCTTAGCAATTGATCACCTCTGTCTCCTGGATGCTAAACTAATAAAAGAAACAAGTGCCTTAAAATTTGTCTCAGATAAGGCTTATCTCAAGTAAAAATTAAAAGCAAATTCCAAGCCCATCTTTAACACTAACCAATAAAATTTTGACAACAGAGTACTAAACATTATAATATCATGGCTACCAGCTCAAGATTTTAAATTCCCTGTGGCTGCTTCTTAATATGTTTAAAAATGCTTCCAAGCTACAGAGCCACCTTGAATCCACCTGTACAGGTCAGGTCCACTCAAGATAAGTATAACTCAAACTTTCCTGGTCCTGGGACCCCCTTCCTTCACCCTGGGACCCCTTCGGGAGCCCCCTCAAGGCAACTTTTTTCTAAAGTTCCTCTTCTGCCTCACCAGCCACCTTGTCAGACCGAAACAACCACAGAGCCTTAAGCAGTGGAAGATGATGGATGATTCCCAAAGCAGTAGAGGACAATCTACTACCTCAGGAAATCCAGCTACCTCAAAAGCCTCCTTCTCTACCCCCAAGAGTTAACCGACACCCACCGAGTCAGCTGGAAGCAGTTTTGGGAGATAGGACCTCCCCATTCCTGTTCACCCACCAATTTTTACAAGAACAAAAGAGTCTGGGATTATAGAATTCCTAGTCACTCCCCCATGACTACGCATGTGCTGGCAAGACGCTTAGTCATTCCGGGGCCTTACATCCTACATAACCCGTGCCCTGGATGGTCACATAATTTGCATGCAGCGTGATCATATAATCTATGCACATGTGTGGCGTAGCTACACAAGCCCATATGCACATGCATGGGGGAATCCATAAAGTGGATCCCACACACCCATCCCCCCATCTTCCTGCACAATTTTACAATAGGCCTAAGCACATCACTTCCATCGCCCTTCTTCTAATAAACTATTATAATGGGTTTTGTTGTGCCTTGTGGCTTTTCTAGCATGGTAAACAGTGCCACATCATAAATAACAGCGACCCCTTTGGGGATTTGAATGACCCCAAGACCACTGGAAAATACAGATAATTACATTATAATTTATAACAATAGCAAAATTACAGTTATGAAATACCTACAAAACTAATTTTATGATTGAGTGTCACCACAACATGAGGAACTGTATTAAAGAGTCATAGCATTAGGAAGGTTGAGAACCACTGCTCTACATGTTTAAATGTCCATTATTCCCTTAAATTTTTGCAAAGTTTTATTTGCCAAGGTTTCCTTTCTATGTTTATATTACTTAAAGTTTTTAAATATGAAATACGATTCCCAATTTTATATTTATCTAGCCACCTATTTTTATCTTGTTTTGTATGTGGTGTTAGCCATGCTGGGCAAGCAGTTACCAGAGATCTATGCCCCTTGATTAACTATTTTAAAAATACATTTGCACATACCAAGACTAGAAACTCACAATTATATCATTTATGTCTCTTATCAGTATTTCTAAGTTTCACCTTAAACCTGCCATTCAAGCATGCACTTATACCCTTGCCAAGGCAAACCACATATCTAAAGAAAGATCATAGTTTTACTGGAATAATAATAGAGAGGAGGAAAAACACCACAACCCATATGCCTCAAGAAGGAAAATGATACCTGAGTCAAGAGAAGGAATATTGTAAAATGAATAAATGCAAACAAAAAGATGCCATGACGTAGAGGGGTAAACCACATAATGTGAAGAAAAAATCCATTAAGTCAATGCCTAAGAAATAGTCAAGAAGAAATATAAAACCAAGAAGAGAAGAGGAATACAATGTCAAAAAGAGGAGAGTGGGTATGATGAGTCACTTGGAATCTCCCAATGCAATTCTGACAGCTGGAAACAGAAGCCAATACAATGAGTAAGAGCATAAAGAAGACATTAATCTCCAAGAGCTACAACAGGAAAGGAATGCAGAAGAACAATTAATTCAGGGGAGACATAATCAAAAGGAAGTATTTAAAATAAAGACCTGAATATTTTTCATGAAAAACCCAGTGGAATTAGACTGAATAACCAAGAGATGAGGAAAAGGAACAGAAAAACGAAGTGTGGAAAATGGAATGAGAAAAATTAAAGCAATAGCTCTATAAAGAGCAGGACTTCTTCTTCCTGAGAAAGGACAGATAAGAGACAGATAGCCTCAAAAAAGCAAGAAGGAAAGCTCACATCCAGTAGTCTTTATGTTCAAATGCTTCCAAAATTGCTGCAAGCCACAAGAATATATTATAGAGATTCAGCTGTATATAATAAAGCTGTACCTAGACAGGTCAAGGAACCTTTTCTAGAGGGAAGCCATTTATTGGTGTTATTCAGCTTTTTACATATCAGCTGTCTTCTGCTATGAATTTTTTGTGCACTCATATACTACTAGGCCATATGGCAAACAGCATAAGCTTCTCAGACCTACTGCTGATCTATTAGGTAACCCCCCTACAGAGCCTAAGAGACAGGTGGACTGTAGATGCATAGCTTTGTTTCTTGTGCAAATGAAGCTCAGATCATCCTTTTCCTTCAGGCCTAGTGGCATTCCAGAGCTATTGATTCAAGACAAGAGTTTTTTGCATTACCAGGTGCAGTAAAAACTGGTCTGGGCAGAGTCACATAGCCAGAGAGAAGAGAAAAAGGCAGCGTTTCTGTAGATGGTAAGAAAGACTGGCTCACACCAAGGAGTAAGGAGTAAGGAAAAGTTCTGCAGGTTGTAGGTGGATTTGAATCAAGTCAGGGGAGGAGAAGAGGAAGGAAAGATGGAAGATGGAGGAACTGAAGATGAGGATGAGGTCAAGAGCATAAGAGCTTATCTATTACTAGAGCTATGAGAGGACAGAAAGAGAATGGACAGAGAAGAACTGAGTGTGAGGATGGACTTAAGCTGTATAGATAGAATTTTGTCTTCAAGAAATAAAGTAAATGGATGAAAGAGCATGGTGTACATAGATTCTTTTCCCTCAGATAACCCCACACTGGATGTAGCATCTTTCCCAGTACTCTGGGAAGGATTTTCTCAGGGCAGGCCCCTGGGAAAATTTCAATACAAAATAATCATATTTAATTATAAAATGAAGTTTGAGGTTCAAATTAGAAAGGACATAAAAACAGGCTGCTTCTTACAAATAACAGAGAAATCCCATCCCAATGACACATTCTTAAAAAAGAAAAGCAATCTGCAGGGGAGAACCATGATTTTCTGTTTGGTAGCTTTAAACAAGAGACTCTTAGGTCAAAATGTTGGAGACCACATTCGAGCTCTCTTGTGTACTTGATGGATGGCCTTAGTGAAGTTATTTTATTTGTTCACCTAGAAACTGAAAATGGTGAGGATTAAGTGAGAAAAATCTATGAAAAGAAATGAAGGACAAACCAAGCAGACAGGAGCACATGTAACGTTATGCACTGTTATATACTGTAAGTTACTATTAGTGAAATTCTTACAATTTTCAAATTCAATCTCTAAATATAACAAGTGTATTAAATTATCAATATGTCCCTCTTAAGAGGGAACAAAATGGCAGAAGCAGAAGTACAAATCAAAGCCTACATTAGCAATTATTAAGTTAATCATACAAATCCTCAAAGAAAAAGTACTTTAGTTCAGCAAATATAATTCATTTAACAGATATAAAATGAAGGTCACATATATTTCTAACAATACTGTCTAGCAACACTTGTTGTGTGATATTTTGTTTGTGTTCTGACAAATAAAGCTTGTCTAGAGATCAGAGGGCAGAGCTAGCCACTAGTTAACCATAGAGGCCAGGCAGTGGGAGGCTCATGCCTTTAATCACAACACTTGGGAGGTGGAGACAGGAATATAAGGCTGGTGGAGACACGATCTCGGTCCCCTTTCAGTCTGAGGATTCATAGAGGTAAGAAGTCTCTAGTGGCTGCTGCTTTGCTTCTCTGACCTTTCAGCTTTCACCCTAATATCTGACTCCTGATTTTTATTAATAAGACTAATTAGGGTCACGTTTCACTTATAGACAAATATGATATCCCATTTTAAGCAGAAAGGCTTTAGACTTACAATCCAATTGCTCAGCACAGAAAGTGGACAGATGATCAGTGTTGTTCTTGTCCTCTCTCCAGTGTCATATTTCTTTGAGCCCTCTACCACAGATACTCCTAAAAGAACAAGGTGTTGATAGACTTTACCTGCTTTTTTAAATACTGAGTTATCCATCTCAATATGGTCCTAACAATCATCTATGAAGACAGAAATCCAGAAGAATTAAAAAACAGGAAACTGGCTCTGGGAGGTGCTGTGGGATGTTCTGTATGGCAAATGTGTTGCTGATTAGTCAATAAATAAAACACTGATTGGCCATTGGCTAGGCAGGAAGTGTAGGCGGGACAAGGAGGAGAATAAAGCTGGGAAGTGGAAGGCTGAGTCAGAGAGACACTGCCAGCCGCCATGATGAGAAACAGCATGTGAAGATGCCGGTAAGCCACGAGCCACGTGGCAAGGTATAGATTAATGGAAATGGATTAATTTAAGCTGTAAGAACAGTTAGCAAGAAGCCTGCCATGGCCACACAGTTTGTAACCAATATAAGTCTCTGTGTTTACTTGGTTGGGTTTGAGTGGCTGTGGGACTGGCAGGTGAGAGAGATTTGTCCTGACTGTGGGCCAGGCAGGAAAACTCTAGCTACAGGGAGGTGGTGGTGCTTGCCTTTAATCCCAGCACTTGGATGGAAGAGGCTGGTGGATCTCTGTGAGTTTGAGGCCAGCCTGGTCTACAGAGGGAGTTCCAGGATATCCAAGGCTACACAGAGAAACCCCCTTACAAAAGAAAATAAAACATTAAAAAAAAGAGATGGACTGTTTCCAGTCTCTCTCACTTCATAAAACCAAAAATTAAATAGTGATTATTTATCAAGAAGAATCAGAGGGCTGTAACTAGACACTTGGAGCAGTCTTTCCTCTTCAGTTAAACTTTTCCAGAAACACCCTCATAGACACAACCAGGAGAGTGTTTCTATGGTGATTTTAACCCCAATCAAACTGACAAAGAAGATTAACAATTCAATCTCTTGTCAACTTAAAACACAAGCACATCACTTTAAGTCATAACATTCCACCCTGGCCCCCAAACTTTCATGTTCATCTCAAAATGCAAAATGTATTTAGTTCATTTCTAAAATTCCTCACACACTTTTTGAATAGACCCAGTACTGTTCAATAGTTCAAGGTTATTCTGAAACTCAGGGCAATTTCTTAACTGTGAGCCCCTATATCCTTCCTCATAAACATCCTAAGGTTGTAGCACCTCCAACATCTTGGAGCTTCCACTATATATAAGGCGATACCTTCCCAGTTTGTACAATGTTCTTCCACACTTCCCTGCAGGAAGTTTGACCCTGCCACACACTTTCTATCCACAGCAGCTTTTTGAAATCTTGACCCAAGCCTCCATGAACCTTGCTTCATGCATTTTTGCATGCCTACAAAATCAGTACCATATGGACAATACTTCCAAGTTCTGTAGACAGCTCAAAATGTAGCCCAAAGCTACAACCACTTCTGTATATCTTTACGGCTAACCCTGAGAAAATATTACTCTATGTGGCAACTGTGGAGCAGAGAATGCCTTCAGTGGCATTCTGTGTCTTGGCTATCTCCTTTTAAATTCATCTGCCTTGTTACAAACTAGAGCGTTCAATGCGTAAGGTCTTGCCTCTGTGTACTCCTATCCCAGTGCAGCTGCAAGATTTTTCTTTAATGTTGTTAATCTCTGTAACCATTATAGTCACTCTTTCCATATCTCCCCTGTCCTGAACTATAAATTCTCATCCCTTCCTTGCCAAGCTGTACATTTGTCTTACCTTTCTGCCCAACTTGCAGTTTTCTCTGTCAACCTGGGTAAAAGCAGTGAGAAGTAACCATAACACAGCCTAAATGCTATCCTGTCTTGAAATTCCTATGCCAAACAACCAGGCAATCAATGCTTTTTAATTTAGCCCCACTCAAATGGTTAAGACATGGACAGAATGAAGTCAGGTTCTTTACCAGAATAAAACACAAAATGCCACTAGCCCAGTTCCTAAGAAAGTCCTTTGAAACCTGATAAGCCAGTTCCCACTATTCTCACTTCTCTTAGAATTCTGATCTTCCAAATACCCACCAAAATGGCCCATTAGTCTCTTGTCTAAAGCGTGTCTATAGCCTACAGCTTCAAAATCTTTCACATTGTTCCTGCAAACCAGTGCTATACTGTGGTGATATTTTATTTGTGCTCTAACAAATAAAGCTTGCCTGGGGATCAGAGGAAAAAGCCAGCCACTATATTAAACATAGAGGTCAGGCAGTGGTACCACATGCCTTTAATGTTAGCATTCAGGAGGAAGAGCTTCATCAGGATCTCTGTGAGTTCCAAGCCACACTGGGAACAGAGCCAGGTGTAGTGGCACACACCTTTAATCCCAGAACTAATTAACCATAGAGGAATGGAGGTGTGTACAAACAGGAAGTGATAGAGCTGGGCAGAAAGAGGAAGTGATATAGCTGAGTGGAAAGAGGAAGTAAGATGAAGGGCACAGAAAGGTACATAGGCATGAGTATACAGGAAGTAGCTCTCTCTTGGGCTAAGGATTTCCTAGCAGTAAGAACTTGTGGCTGGCTTGTTCTATCCCTTTGATCTTTCAGCTTTCACCCCAATATCTGGCTCCAGGTTTTTTATTAATAAGACCATTTAGTAATTTGTGCTACACTAATGCTTACAAACCAGTCAAGTTAAACACAGCAATAACACCATTCCTCAGTACCAATTTTCTGTTAGTTGTTGTGACAAAATACCCCACAAAAGTAAATAAAAGATATATTTTGGCCTCCAAATTGAGAATATATTGCCCATTATGGAGGGGAAGTCATAGCAGCAAAAGCATGAGGCAGCTGGTCACACTACATCCACAGTCAGGAAGTACAGAAAAATGTTGATGCTCAGTTCATTTTCTCCTTATTAAGTCCAGGAGCAACCCATGGAATGGGACTGCCTACATTCAGGGTGGATTTTTCCCTCTCTAATTAAATCTTTCTAGATTTAATTTTAATTATGTGTGTGTATATAATGTGTGTGTGTGTGTGTGTGTGTGTGTGTGTGTGTGTGTGTGTGTGCCTAAAGATGTCAGAAGTAGCTGGATCCCATTTGTGAGCTACCCAACATAGGTGCTGGAAATTGAATTTGGGTCCTCTGGAAGAGTAGTATGTGCTCTTAACCCTTATGCCATCCAGGTTCAAAATAAATTTTTTTACTAATTAATTTATTTATTTTACATACAGACCCTAGCCTCCCTCCCTCCTCTTCTCCCACTCCCTCTCCCCACTTCCCCTCTGCCTTCCCCTCAATCTACCCCTCCTCCATATTCGCTCAGAAAGTGGCAGGCCTCCTCTGGGCATCAGCAAAACAGGGCACATCAAGCTACCATAAGACCAAGCACCTTCTCCTGTATTCAGGCTGGGCAAGGCAATCCAGCATGAAGAATAGGTTTCCAAGAGCCAGCCAAAAGCATTAGGGAGAACCCTGCTCCCATTGTCAGGAATCTCACAAGTAGACCAAGCTACACAACTGTCACATCTATGCAGAGAGCCTAGATTGGTCCCATGCAGGCTACCTGGTTGTCGGTTCAGATTCTCTGAGTTCCCATAAGCCAGGCTAACTGTTTCTGTGGGTTTTCATCTGATGTCCCTGATTACCCCCTGGCTCCTATAAATCCCCACTTCCTCTCCTCAGCAGGATTCCCCAAACTCCTCCCATTGTTTGGCCATGGGTCTCTGAATCTGCCTCCATCAGGCACTGGATGAAGGCTCTCTGATAACAACCTAGGTAGTCACCAATCCTGTTCAGGCTATGCTGCCAGGAGCCTTAGCTGGGGCCATCCTTGTAGACTCATGGAAGTTTCTCTTCCATCATGCTTCTACCCGACTCCATAAAGCACCCTTCCCCAGTCATCTTTTTCAGCACTCTCCTCTTTCTCCCACCTCCCCCAACCCAATCCCTGAAGTTTCCATGCCCACCCACCCCCAGTCCAACCAGCAGATCTCTATTTCCCCTTCCCTGGGAGAACCATATGTCCCCCTTGGGCCCTCCTTGTTACCTAGCCTCTCTAGGCAAAATATATCATTTTTAAACAGACTACATTCAAGTCTGCTTTTATGCCATTACACTGTTTTATCTTCTTTGTATCATTTAACATCTAAAGTCTTTTACTTATGTATTGCATCACTTATGACTGCTGAATAAGCCATGGAAATAAGATCTTGTGCTGTACATGGAAACCAAGGTACAGAGAAACAATTCTCTCAGACATCTAATCTTAATTCTATCTTTTTCCATCCTATTCATAAGCAAGATTGTTTTTCTATGTACAAAATAAAAATTATAAAAAAGATCATTGACATTCTTAAGTGAAAAGCAAATTCTAATAACACTAAAAATTAGATCTTTATTTACATTTATGCAAGTTAAGCTTTAAACCAATCATAAATGACTCCATTCCTTTACTAGAACAGAACAGGAGGGGAAAGAGGAAAACTAGACTTACTGACCCTTTTTCAATATTTTCTTCTTTGTTACAAGGGCAGATGAAGTAAGTGCATGAGCAAATTTTGTATCTTCTTTAACCTTAGATGATCCTGATAAGAAAAATCACAGAATATAAAAATTTCTTACTCTGCCTTCTTAGGCACTTTCTATATTCTGCAACTTGACATATTACTTTAATTAAATAAAAATAGTATTTGGTAAATAGCAAGCCATTTATGACACTAAGCATATCCCTATAGCTCAAATGATGTAATCACATCCCAGCTGTTACTTCTCTTAAAAGAAAAAGCAGGAGCAGACAAATGCAAAGAGATTCAGCTCTCAGGAAAAAAAGCTGTACCAGTATGAAGCTGCTAAATTTCATATCGGTGTAACGGTGATAAGCTGTTTTCCAAATGTAATACAATTTCTCAGTTAATGAGAAAGACAATATGATTTGAATAGGAAAATAAAGCATATTTCAAAGATGAAATAAATGGTATACATTGTTTTCTATGTGCATAATGTGAATACTGCCAAGAAGGCACTCCAAACCTGTTCATTAAGCTTGTGTGTGTGTGTGTGTGTGTGTGTGTGTGTGTGTGTGTGTGTATGTATGTATGTATGTGTTTGCACAAGCACACCAGCACTTGCATATGTGTGTGTACATGCTTGTACGCACTTATGTAAAAAATAAAAAGTTTTATTCAATTTATTTTGTAAGTAGTAGAAAACAACTGTTTTGTTTAAAGTTGGTTTAAATATTATCCATTAAGATTGAAATTGAAATTATTCGTTGAATTTGCATAATTTAATTTAACACATAGTAAGTTCATGAAAAGTTCAAATGCAGGAAAAAGTTCAAAAGCAGCCAAATTTTATACTATTGCTAAAGATCTTTCAAGCTAACAAGATGTCAATTAATGATTGTTTTATTTTAAAAATATTTACATGAAGGTTATGTAAGTACTGAGATGTAATATACACCTACCTTTTACTCTACTTTTAGTATCTGACTGTGCATTTTTCAGCTTGTCTAAAATAAAAAAAAATAATAAACAATGGACACACTAGGAGATTAGACTATATAACAGTATCAAAACAAGTCATATTATCTTTTATTTTCTGTGGAAGTTCACTAGTTTCAATTTCCTCTGAATCACTGCTTTCAATGTACTGAACAGCAAATTTTCTTCTAAAATTGAAAGATTCAAAATAAAATGTAATAAAGCAATATGTTTAATAAATGCAATACAGAAGTTGTTTAACTCCTATTTGCTTTTTAAAAAATTTTACAGCCGGGCGGTGGTGGCGTACGCCTTTAATCCCAGCACTCGGGAGGCAGAGCCAGGCGGATCTCTGTGAGTGTGAGGCCAGCCTGGGCTACCAAGTGAGTTCCAGGAAAGGCGCAAAGCTACACAGAGAAACCCTGTCTCGAAAAGAAAAAAAAGAAAATCCAAAAAACTCTCTTATTTGCCAAGAAAATATCAAATATGCTAAAAAGCTTCTTTTTTTTTAATGACCAGACAGCTTCATTTGTAAAATATAGTACCACTAAGATTACATTTGAAAAGTCATTCACAGAGTTCAATGTTCAGTCATTCAACTAAAACATGTAACATTAGAACCAAAAATTGGCAATGTGGAAGATAGCAGAATGACAACTACATGCGGATTGCTAAATTCACAAGGAAGTAAACCAGGGACTGTGAGAGCCACTGTCCTTGGAGGGGAGTGATGACAGGAAAACACTAGCTTTAGTAGCAAAGAAATACCGAATAAACAGAACAGGAATGTCCAGAGCTGATTCAAAGCACTCAAGTCCCAAATGGGGCATGCTCTCTTCCCCAAAGAGGGCTGAGAACAACTAGGGAGGATGAGGATCTCAGCTTAGGACAAACAGAGCTTCAGATAGTCCTACTCTCAGTACAAGATAATTTATAGGGCAGAAAAAGAAGGGAGGGAGGGCTGACATCTGTACAGCCAATTTGTACAACATCTGTGCAAATCTTCAGAGTCAGGGTGGAATCCAAAGACAAAACAAACAAACAAACAAAAAAAGCCACAGGAAGTACATTAATGCCAGCCACATCACTGAGAAGATTTACAGTTCCAGCAGACAGTAATTTGGGGGCACATATTCCACATTCATATCTTTCAGTATTTGGCTGGAGCAGAGGTAACACGTCATTTAAAAAGACATATGCTTTGTTAGCAGCTTGGTGGAAGTACATGCAGAGCTCCTCTTTGCATCATCCAGGACAAGTGTCAGGGGACTATTTTGAGTCCTGGAATGCAAAACAGTTCTAACAGGGGTGGTGGTGGTGGGTGGGAGCTCTGACCAGAAGCACACAGTGTTCTTAAGTAGTAGCAATAAGGTCTGAACCATGGACTAGAGTAAGACTCACTGGTTCTTCAGAAGTAGGGCATGAAGTAGCAAGAACTTAAAAGTTAACTAGAGCTGGGCAGTGGTGGAACGTGCCTTTAATCCCAGCACTTGGGAGGCAGAGCCAGGTGGATCTCGTCTACAGAGCTAGATCCAGGACAGGCACCAAAACTACACAGAAAAACCCTGTCTCAAAAAACCAAAAACAAAAAAGTTAACTAGGGCACCTGACACTGCAAACCTTGCTGACATCCCTTTCTAGTGTCTACAGACTGACAGACATTTCTATAGTTACAATGCCCACAAAGTACAACCTCTGGAAGTAAGGCAAACAAAATAAAGATCAACCAACACAGGAAGTTTAGTATCACAAAGCTTCTCCTATCACCAGAAAACACCAACCCAAAGTGAGAAGAAAACATATAACAGTGTAGAGATAATATGATACCTGCACTCCTGCAAGTGTTGGCTCAGACATCTTCTGTACCTACACTGAGGTATGTGACCACATAGAGAAAATCACCTGTATACACACAAGTGACCACACTGAGATAGTCTGTACCTGCATGTAGTAAGTGACTGTAAATAGTTTGCAAATGAACATATATAAATAGCTTCAGAGAGATGGGTAGAGATTCATTGGGTCTGCACTAGCTCTGTCAACAGTCAGTCATATTGGAGAGGAGTTCATGGGGCCCTATTCCTCCCTGCTGTATTAGTAGATACTGATAGATTTTGAGAGGGAAAGTATCTTGATCAAAAGCCCTTGGCTGGGAAGCTCAAAAGCCCTAAGGTAGAACCTACTATTGTTTTGATAGATGGTCATGTTGTCAAATTACCTTCTAAATATGTTTACACCTATAGACTTGGGCTGCTCTTAATCTCAGTGAGAGAAGTTTCTTTTTGCAGTGAACAGTAGTCAATGCAGACATTCACAATTGATTAAAGTGCTGAAAATAAGAGATTAAGTGCTCAGCCCTAAGTGAGACATCTCTGTCATCCCTTATTCTCTAATAAGGGGCATGGAATATTGGCGAAGAGGAGGCAAAAAACAATGTATGAGCTGGTAGATGGAGAGGAACAAAGCTATCAAATTCATGAACTCACTACAACTGTGGTTACCTGAACACAGTAAGGACAGTTAAAATCCTGACACAGATTGAGGTTTTCTCCAGGCCCCACCCCTTCCTGAGGAGCTAATGGAAGCTGATAGTTGCTAGAAGAAAGAGAACAATTCTTTTTTGAGTGTGGCTACTGTTAGGTTTTCCATCCTCCAGTAGATGGTCCCATACCCATGAATCTATGGGCAGCACTAACTAGACTTAGTGGTTTATCAAAAAAAGAAGAGGAGGAGGAAGGAGGGGGAGAGGAAGAGGAAGGGGAAAAGAGCAGGAGGAAGGACAAATTGAGCAGGGAATTCAATTCCCCCAAGGAATAAATAGGGGGCATGTATGATGATATTTCACTGCATGCATGTATGAAATTCTCAAGAATAAAGAAATTAAAAAAAAAACAAAGAAAAATACTAAACAAATAAATGCTGATGGGAATGCTGCTTTGAGAATGTAAACTGGTGTGGCCACTGTAGAAGCCATAACAGGTCATCAAAAAGCTAAAAATAGAACTACTGCATGGCCCAGTTATACCACTCTTATACCCCAAAGACTGTGAGTTAACACACTATGGAGATACATGCACATCAGTACTTACTATTGCATTATTCACAGCAGCTAAAAAAATTGCATCTAGCATAAATGTACCATCAACAGCCAAATGAGTAAAAATGGCATGCTACATCTACACAATAGTGTTAGCCATAAAGAAAAGTGAATCATGAAAAGAAAATGGATGGAATAAGCCAGACTCAGAAAGGTAAATAAATTTTGTGGATCTTAGATTGAACAAAGATATATAAAGCCATATATACTCAAAATTCTCCATACATATTTATAAAACAGCAAAGCAAAGGGGATACTGGAAGAAAGAAATTAGAGGAAGGTAAGAAAAAAAAACAGAGAAAGAAGAGAAAGATGGACAAGCTATGGAGGATGAATATGGTCAAAGTACCTAATATTGAAAAATATTGTCTTTATGAAGCCTACCATTTGTACAATATACACCAATTAAAGAAAATCTTGATAGGGCCTTTGAAAATGGAGTTATAAGAGGATAAAAACCCTACTGTTATCAAAGAAAAGGGAAAATATAGTTACTGTCTTTTGAATGAACTGGCTGTCTCTTGTTGTAAACTTCTTGTGTAATAACAGCTATGATTCTCCCCATTTACCGTGCATTTCCATGTTACATGTACATGCATTCTCATGAATGCATCTCAATCTTATGGGCACACATAATTGTGAATAGTCTAGAAGATGGTTTCTTATTTAACTCTACAATTTTTTTTTTTTTTTTTGGTTTTTCGAGACAGGGTTTCTCTGTGTAACTTTGCGCCTTTTCCTGGAACTCACTTGGTAGCCCAGGCTGGCCTCGAACTCACAGAGATCCACCTGGCTCTGCCTCCCGAGTGCTGGGATTAAAGGCGTGCGCCACCACCGCCCGGCTAACTCTACAATTTTTAAGAATAGAGACATACTAAAATGTGCTTCATACTAGATCTATTGTATATTGTAGGCACTTAGAGGTCTTGTTCTCCATCCTTAGCCACTGACAAGATAAATATTGAACAGACAAAATGTCTTCATAGAACTTTCACAGAGTGGAATTGCAGGTGACTGGCCTTCTTAGATCAAAATGCTTCAGAAGAATTATAGTGAACCAGAAGTGATAGTGCAGGTGTCTGGCCTTGGTATATCTTAGTGCTTCAAGAGATCAATAGCACCTATGTTGCCCTAAGCTTCCTCCATTAGCACCTCCCCATTCTGATTCAAATAACAATTAACACTTTGTATTTATTTCTGCACCAGTTTTTAATGCAAGATTTTAGGCTCAGTAGACTAATTATATGTAGGTCCTGATATTCAGGTAACTAACAGAAAAAGGCTATTAACTGACTAACTGTATCTGGATATTATTAATCACATAAAATAGTATACATATTCTTTGCCTTAAATCTCTCATTGGTTTAATTTCTTTCCTTGTAACCTTTGTAGCTATCCCTTTAAGAGATAGCCAGTACTTTTTACAATCTACAGCCATTGTCAATCACCAATTAAGCTGACCAAGTCTTTGCCAAGTATGACACTTATCAGAATGCTTGTCTCTGAGAGTTTACTTTGTAGTTTTTACTAACAAGTTGTTAATGAATGGATGGAGATTGTGTGTGTGTGTGTGTGTGTGTGTGTGTGTGTGTGTGTGTGTGTTCATATTCTTAGTGAAACAAAGAAGGGAAGAAGATGGAAAAGACCTAGATAGATATGAGAGAACAGCAAGAAGAGAACTGATGGAGAAGAACAAAGATGAGGACTGAGATAGAAAGAACTAGATAGACATGAAGAGAACAATAGAAGGGACTGAGAACAGGAGGGACTGAGAGGAGCTAAGAGAACAGAAAAGAAACTGTATAGATATAGAATTGACTTAGAAGAATAAGGTGAATGGACTAACGAACTCAGTGTGCTTAGATTCACTGAATATCCCTCAAACTAGAATCCTTAGCCACTTGTAGCATCTGTTCTGGACCCTGATAGAAATCTCCTCAAGGAGGAAATTCATTATATAATTACTGCATAAATTGTAAGTAAGAATGATGGGCTTTGGAATTAGACTACCAAGATTCAAATCTTCATTCTACTAGTAACTTGCTATGACTTTATGCGAATCACCAAACTATGTCTGTTTCCTCACTTGGAAAATGGAAATAAAATATAACTGACTATATAGCATAAATGTGACTGTATACAAAAGACCTAAAAATACTACCATTCTGAAGAATAAGCATGTCTGTATTGGCTATAGTACATACACTGGCTGCTGTTGTACACATTTTCCTTGTTATATATTAATTTCCTTTCATCTGATCTATTCTACCTAACAGTGCTATATTACACAGGCTTATGACTAGTTCAGTTTTAAGATTTGGCATTTACATAAGAAGGAAATCAGGCTAGATTCTGGGATTAAGAGCACTAGCTCCTCTTCCAGAAGACCTGGGTTCAATTGCCCACACCCACATGGCAGCTTGCAGTGATGTGTAACTTCTGTTTCAAGAGATCCGATGCCCTCTTCTGGCTTCCTTGAGCACTAGGCAGGCACCCATGTGGCACACAGACATACATACAGGCAAGCACTTATACACATAAAAAAAATAATAATAAAATGAAAAAATTTCTAAATAAAAAACAAAAACTAGTAAGTAATGATTCTGAGTTCAGTTCAAGAGGAGATTAATGACGGAATCATCAACTAGACCGTATTTTGTGACTGGTGCTGAGGAATTGCTAGTGGAGATTTAGACACAAGATCACATCCATGTACACTGATGGGAGACCATACTATATAACAAAAGCCTGGTACCTATACCTAGTTGAAAGGGTAAATGAAGCTTATAAAGTTAACAGATTCAAGGTAAGATAAAACGAGAATAATATCTTTTATGCAAACTCTCTCTACATTCTAGTCTGTGTTAACTCTCCACAATTTTCTGAAAAGAGCAAAGAACGCTGTGTTAAGTCTTCCAAACACATCCTTCAATTTTATCCCCCAAAATCCAAAGGAAAAATCTCAATGTCTCATTAAGAAAATCTAGGTTAAAAAAAAAAGGAAAGTGGAAGTGATTATTAAAAATAAATAAACCATTTATTGTATAGATTAATATTACTTTCACTTTTGAAATGAAGAATAGGAAAGACTGGCAGCATGATTTAAGAATAAATTATTTTTTATAGAGCAATATTACTTTTTACTTTTAAAGTAAGAACACTATACTGTCATTGTGATTTAGTAATCTACAATTAGAAATGTATTTGAAGTAACCTATAACTGAAATATAGTTCTCATTTCTTTCTCTTACAAGAAGGCAGAGAAAACAAACATGCCATGGAGCTAAACCTAAACACTTTACCTTTTAGGGCAGAAGCTAGACAATTCTGACATGGGATACTTATTCTTCTCCTGAATATCTGAAACACCAGGTTCTTCACTACGTCTGGATGGCTTTATTTCAAAGAAACACACAAAATTATCAAAATGTCTTACAATAACACCATCTCTCTGAAAGGCTTAATATTTTTCCATAACTAACCTTGAACTTTAATAACTTCACTTTCATGCCCTCTGGAACTCTTTCTGCATTTCTCCTAAACTAGTATTTTCCCACTGGGATATACCTTCAGTTTTTTATGACCCAAATGAAAGGTCTTTTTCCCACAGTCACCACCCAACTCAGAGGCTGAATTTATTTCCGTATCACAAAAACAAACGAACAAACAAAAAACAAAAACAACACAATACACTCAGGGAAGGAGGACAGACAGACAGACACTAATAGATCCTAATAAAATGCTAAATATACATTTGTATTTCCAAACATTAGCTGTCACTTAGCAACCTTCCTTATCACTGTTTAGTCCTCCCAGGCTCTGCAATATACCACTGCAAAGTCATTTTCTTCCCAGAGAACTTCACTAATTTGCAATGAAATTTTGATGCCATTACGTATTATAAGTTAATTTTCTTACCTCTCCCCCACCACCCACTTGCTTATGTATTCCTTCTTCAACCTTAAGAATGCTAACATATAATTATTCTTGAGTTCTCATTTTTTCCCACAACACACTGTATATACAATGAAGTTCTAAAACAAAACATTATTTTTTCTTTAAATTGTTCTTTGAAGAAATTTTTCTCTCAATTAAAAACACTTTCCCCAACTTTTCTAACTGGTATACTAATAACCAATCAATTATTTTGACAAAGCTTTTCTGATTACGAATCCTCACAAGGTTCTTTAGAAAAAGAGATCCTAAATTTTTATATTACAAAACTCAAAATAGAATTATAATAGGTGAGAAAATATCCATAAAGTGGTCGGACCATATTCACAACTACAACTCACTTGCACTTAGTCCATCTGCCTCTTTGTCAGTATTACTCCCTCCGAGTTTACCAGTCTCCTCCTTGTATTCCTATGTAAAAAGGCATTTTCTTCAATGGGATACCAGTTTTAAATGATGTTAAGATGAATTTTGTATTATATCGCTTTACTTTACATAATGAAGATTACTTATAAATGCTAACAGATAGATCACCATTTTAAAAATGGTTAAAAGGAGGTAAAAAAGCAAAAAAGAATATACAAATTGATTTAAATTTTTTCATTAGTATCTCAAAAATGAAAATTATGAGAAACTTCACTCCTACTGATTAATGTTTATGGAGCCGGAAGGTCTATGTACATTAGCAGAGTAGGAAAGGAATCATGAGTATTGTCTAGTTTTAAGCCCTGCAACCTACAATAATGACACACTTGCAAGATATACTAGTACAATGATAATACAAATGTTATTAGAGTAACCAAACACGTTTTAATATTGGATTTAAGGCCCATTCCATGAGAGAGAACCCATACCTGGCATTGCTAAAGTAGCCCAGAACCTGAGACTAGATAGGTCATGGGCCTAGGGGAAAGCCTACTGCTATTATTCTGCTAAATGAACATAGGGATAAAACAACTCCTAATGACATATTGCTATACCCATAGATCAGTGCATTGCTCAATTCTCATCAGAGAGAAGTTTCTTCTTGCAGTAGAGAGTAATAAAGAGATACAACGTGATTGATTTTGAAGGACGCGGCTCTAAATGGGATGTCCTTATCAAACTTTTCCCCTCAAGGCTGAGGATCTATGTGGTAGAATAGGCAGAACAACTTTAAGAGCCAAATGACTCCAAGGAAACAGCATTTTCCAGACACAACAGGACTGACGTACATTATGAACTCAGAGACTGTGACATCACACACAAGACCTACACACATTCAAGCCAGACAAAATCCCAGCATAGGGGAAGAGAAAATAGACACAAAGTCCCACCCCTAAACAACAAGTGATTTGCAATTCATACCTGTTGGGAAAGAGAAAATGAGTTTTCTCCAATGAAGTGAGACACTAGATATATAAACCACACTGCAGGACAGGCCCCATGATCAGAAATAGGTGGCTAACACAAAATGGACTCCATGTTTTTTATTTGCTTTTATCAGTGCTTTGTTTAAGTATCCTTTTCTTTTTAGGTTTTTTTTTTTTTGGCACCACCCCCATGCTGACCCCCTTTTTTATGTTTTTGTTTTGTTTTGAGAGAAAGAATATGAAATTGGGTGGGAAGGGAGGTGGGAATATCTTGTATAAAAATTTTTTAATCCAATAAATACAAAAAATAAAACACTTTCCTAGTTAGTTTTCTAATTATACATATTAACATTTCCTTAAAATATGAGGAAAAGCAACGAATATAATCTCCCACTATACTAAAAAAAAAAAATGAAAACTAGTTGGTCTTAATCTTTCCAAATGAAAACAAACACACAAAAAATCTCTTAAAATATAAATGTCACTGTGGAAAAAAAAATCATGAGATTTATACTAGAATAAAAAGCTCCCACACTAAATTTTCAAACCAAGATTCTCTATTCAGTAAATAATGGAGCTACTATTACCATACTCTCTTTTCTGGAATTCCCAAAGCTAACAAGATAAAGCAGTAGTATTTATAGAAAAAAAATTGAGATACTAAAGTCCCAGTAAAAGTAAAAATTAAAAAAAAAATTCAATAATAAGCTCTAAGGAGAAGTAGTGTACATGGAAAGTAAAATACAGAAAGCATCTTTGCACTGTTTTCTAAATCAGACTTTTAGGATTTTTAGGTAAGAATAGTTTACTTCTAATTTCTCTTTTGCCTACCATCCCCACCCCCCGCCAGCAACAATGAGCTCTCAGCTGCTGTTCTACTGCCATACCTGCCTGCTTACTACCATGATCCCCACCATGATAATAATGGACAACCCTCTGAATCTGTAAGTGACCCAATTAATTATTTGTTTGTTTGTTCGTTTGTTTTGTAAATTACCTTGGTCATGGTGCTCTTCACAGCAATAGAATTAAGACAAATATGATACTTATACTTTGTTTATTTGTGTCTTCTGGGTTTTTTTTTTTTTTTATCTTTTTGGATTTTCTTTTTTTTTTTTTTTAATTTATTTTGCAATACAATTCAGTTCTACATATCAGCCACGGATTCCCTTGTTCTCCCCCCTCCCGTCCCCCTCACCTTCCCCCCAACTCTCCCCCCATTCCCATCTCCTCCAGGGCAAAGCCTTCCCCACAGACTGAGGTCAACCTGGTAGACTCAGTCCAGGTAGGTCTAGTCCCCTCCTCCCAGGCCGAGCCAAACAATCCTGCATAGGCCCCAGGTTTCAAACAGCCAACTCATGCAATGAGCACAAGATCTGGTCCCACTGCCTGGATGCCTCCCAAACAGATCAAGCCAATCAACTGTCTCACCCATTCAGAGGGCCTGATCCAGTGGGGACCCCTCAGTCTTCTGGGTTTTTTAACTTGTTTTTTTATTGTTATTGTTTTGAAATAATGTCTTACTATGTAGCCCTAACTGGCCTGGAATCAGATTGCCACGAATTCAGAGATCCACCTGCTTCAGCCTTAAGTACTGGGATTAAAATTCATGCAACCCCTGCCAGGCACTGGTGACACACACCTTTAATCTCAGCACTTGGGAGGCAAAGGCAAGCGTATTTCTGTGAGTTCAAGGGTATCCTCGTCTATAGAGCTAGTTCTAGGACAGCTAGAGCTGTCACACAGAGAAATCCTGTCTTGAAAAACAACAACAAAAAACAACAACAAATAAAAACACATGCACCCCACAGAAATTGGTGCTTACACTTTAATAAGCACCATTATAAATAGTTAAAAAACATTAATCACATCTCAAGAAGATCAGCTATTATTAATTAGCTGTCAACTACTTTTAGTGAGATAGAAATTTTTACAGTAAATCAGCCTTCACAGAACACACTTCCTTTACCTTTCTTGGTTGATTCTTCTTGCTTCTTTTACTGAGAAGAGGCTTACCATCAGCAAAGTTGGTAAGAATTACTGCAATGGAGCCGGGCGGTGGTGGCGCATGCCTTTAATCCCAGCACTCGGGAGGCAGAGGCAGGCGGATCTCTGTGAGTTTGAGGCCAGCCTGGTCTACAGAGTCAGATCCAGGAACGGCGCAAAGCTACACAGAGAAACCCTGTCTCAAAAAACAAACAAAAAACAAACAAACAAACAAAAAAAAGAATTACTGCAATGGCAGTAAGAGTTTTGCCCTTTGAAATATTTTTAAAAGACAAATGGTCAGATTCTAAAACCCATCTAGAAACATTTCAAAACCTATTTTAAAATAATAAAATACTGAGTATAAGTCAAAGCCACAGCATGCATGATTATTAAACAATATAATCGCTAATGAAAAATAAGTATTTCACTTAGCTAAGAAAATATTTCTTATACCATATTATAAGTTACTAAATGATTGACTATAAGCCCCACAGAGAAAGGTCATTTTATTGAACGACAAACACTCTACAATGAACTATCATTTTTATCATGAAACTAATATTAATTAGTATTCACATGTATAGAGGCCTGAGAAGAATCTTAGTGTCAGTTCTCAGGCACTGCTACCCACGCCCTTTTTGAGACATCATCTCCTCCCTCGAAACCCTCCCATAAACCCCTCCTTTCTCTTTCAAACTCATGGCCTCTTTTTTCATTATTGTTGTTACATGCATATTTGCATACACTCACACACTATTTTTACTTGAAAGAACAGGCAACTGACTGAGTGTCTAGGGTGAATTTTCTTGAAAGTAATCAATATAAGGTGTAAGATATTGTCTTTAAGGAAAACAACAGTATGTCTTGTAAGGGTTAATTTCAACTTTTAGTCAAAAGTTAAAATGTTACAAAACTTCAACATTACAGCATGACTAAAGCAACTGCCAAGAATGTAACTGCTTTTCTCATAAGATCAGTAGCAATGTTAAAGAATATAAGCTTTAAATGCTGCATGATGAAATGCACTATATGTGGCAGGTCTACAATTAGTACTTTCCAATGGGCAAGCCTCATCTTAAAATCATTAACAGGTGAAACATTCAATGTACAACATGCACAGATGATAATCAATAAGTTTAGTATCATTGCCTAGTGGTTAGTTCCTTTAATGAATAAATATTTGGATTTTAGTATTTTATCTTAAAAGTTTTTAAAACACTTGTGAGATTAATACTGACTGTCAACTTGACAGGAACTTCAATCTCCTGGAAGACAACTGGGACATGTCCATAATGAAGTTTCTAGACTAGGTAAATGAGGTAGGATAAGCCACTCTAACTGTGCATGGCACCATTCCATAGATTGGGGTGATCATCTGCATCCATTTCTGCCTCTTGACTATAGGTAAAATATTATTTTCCTGCCTATTAAATTCCTGCCTCTGTACCTTCCCCATGATGGACTGTATCTCCCAGAACTGAAAGTAAAAAAAAAAAATTCTTCTCTAAAGTCTGATATGATATCATAGATATAAGAAAAGCAACTAATAATTCAATACTTTTCCCTTTACAATATCTGTAAGGAAAAAAATCAACACAATCCCAACATACCAAATAAAGTAACAATTTGAGAGTTCAGCTGCCACTTTTCCACCTAAGCATCAAAACAACTTGCAAAACTAAACAGTGACATTCTTATAAAAGCTGTTATTATTTAGAATTGTCTTTAAAATATGCTACTTATATAAGTTTTTGTCTATTGCTACTTTTAATATTCTAAAACTATTTATTTTAATGCCTAATACTGTAAAAGTTACAGAGCTCAAAGTGACAGCTCTATGACCAAACCCACAGGAATGGCTATGGTAAACAGTCACAAATATCTACTATGCTACATACCTAGTATTTGAACTAGAATATGGTTTCAAATAACATTGTATTCTTTACTAATACAGAAAAGCTATTATTAAAGACACCAAGAGGAGTTAAATGTGTAGGACAGTAGGTAGGATCCATGCCTAACATGGCTGAAGCCCTAGATTTCATGCCCAGGGTGGAGAAAGGAAGAAAGGAAGAGGGCAGCAAGAAAACTGCCAGGGGTCTGAGGAGTCAAGGTTTTGTCCTACTGTTTAATTCTGAGTAGGGAACCTTAGTGTTAACAGGGTACAGCCCCTAGGAATGGGGATGGATACAGCTAGAAGAATCAATATCAATATCAATGTCACTGCCCATCATGGCCCCACTCCACTTGGGAAGTCCCAATGGCACCTAAGCATGAGCTGAACCATGGGGTCTAACTGTCTTCAGCTTACCACTTTCTTGTGCTGCACGTAAAAAGACTGCTCTAAGAGATGGCAGCACTGCTTTCTGTCCTCTTCTCATGTCTACCTTATCAGGCCTATTGGTCCTGATCCCAACCTCTGTCCCACTCTCTTCATCTACTTTATTATTGCCACATTCTGAATTTCTATCACACTTGTCATGGCTCCAGTCTGACTTGTCCCCACACCTGTTTTGCTTCTTGTGGTAGCATCTAACATCCCATCGCTCCTGTCTAACTTTTCATGACTCACGTCAAACTTCTCAGAGCCTGCATTACTGTTTCTAAATTTTTCAGCAGACCTAATGACATTGAAGTTGGGGTCACACAGTCATGACATAAAGCCAGTGTCTATATTCTAGTAGTAAGGGAATCTGTAAGAAGGGACATCCACCTTGTCCTAGCTTAGCTTGGTGTTAAGTCCCCTAATCAGATAACCTCAAAGTCTATGGCATCATCAGCACAGTCCTTGAAAATGATTTCACTCTCTGGAATCTGAGGATGCCTCTCTTGGCCAAGCAGGTCTAAAGCAAAAGCACAGCAAGAAACAAACAGGCCAGTAGAGGTAAACGGGTTCTAAGAGGGTTGGGAGACTACTGTTTCTCTCTTGTTGTTGACATTACTGCCAATACCAAAGGACTTCTTTTTTAAAGCACAAAATGAGGTGCAAGCTCCTCAGCAGGAAGTAACTGAGCCTTACTTTATTTTCTACTGTTTTTTTCAGTGATGGGAACTGAATTTGATATCATTGACCTCTACTTTTGAAAAACCATATGAAAGCTGGGCAGCAGTGGTGCACACCTTTAATCCTAGCACTAGGGAGGCAGAGTCAGGCGGACCTCTTTAAGTTTGAGGCCAGCCTGGTCTACAGAGCAAGATCCAGGACAGGTATCAAAACTACACAGAGAAACCCTCTTTCAAAAAAACAAAACAAAACCAAAAAAAAAAAAGTAAAGAAAAAAGAAAATTAGGAATATACACTTATATACTCATTAATGTTAATGTGTTCTGTCACCCATTTTTAACTATTCTTTGCTATTTGACCCATCTATTGGCTCCTTAGAAGTCCCTACTAAAAAACTAAAAAGAAAGAAAAAAAAAGTATGCTCTATCTACATTGAAAGAAAACTCTAGTCCTAAACTGGCACCCATCTTTCAACTTTAAAATTTCTTTTTACAAAATTGTAATTGCAAAGTAAGATTTTTCTAACTGAAGAAAAAAATTACCAAACCCATATCATCAGCTAAAATTCCTCCATGGACATTTTCTGGTCGTTCTTTCTCAGAAAAATTTGTTATTGTGTTATAATATAAGTCATTTTGCTATTCCCAGAATGGAGGAAGCTCTTTGCTGTTCTCTTGTGAAACCATCCAAGTCAGAGCTTGTTTTTGGTGTGGAAGCAATGGGGTTTCAATAGCCTACAAATACAACATTATAAGGAGAAATATAGTCAGTCTTTTCTCTTTTCATATGCAGAACCTGAGTTATTTTCTTATGGTATGAAATGTATAAGTTACCAAAACAATTGTTTTGAAACTTTACATTTGAGATATTGGTTTACATTTTTGAGTTCTTTATATTTTCTAGATATCAACCCCAAAACAGACATGGAGCTGGCAGAGATTGACCCCATGTTCTAAACTATCTTGGCAGTCCATTAACTATTTCCTTTACCATGCAGAAGCTTTTTAATTTTATGCAATACTATCGGTCAGTTCCTAGAATTATTTCTTGAGTTTTTAAAATTCTTTTCTGAAATTGAAACTGTCTATCAGCAAATGAGGAAATTAAGAAAATAGGCATTTCTCAAAAATCAAAATACAGATAGGCAGTAGATATGTGAAAGAATGCCCAATGTCCTTACTTACACACTAAGAATCCATCTTACCCTTGTGAGAATAGATATCATTTTAAAAACAAACAGAAAATGTTCACAAGGACTTAGGAGAAAGGGAACTTTTATATAATGCTAGTGGAAATGTAACCTAGTGCAACCACTATCAAAATCAGTATGAAGGTTCCTAGAAAAGCTACAAACAGAAATACCATATAATCCAGGTGGGAGTGAGCTCTTCCAAATTTAATGTGGCATTACAACAGCACCATCAGCAGCAGACAATCAGCCTAGGTGCCCATCAGTAAATGAAGACAAAACAAAACAAAAAAACACAGTATATTTATACAGTGGAGTTTATTCAGTCATAAAGCACAAAATTATGTGTCTTACAGAAAAATAGATGGAATCTGGATCATTATTATTTTGTGGAAAAGGCCAGGCTTAGAAAGAAAGCCAGACTCAAATTATATATTTTCTCTTATTCTGGGAACTTAAGAGTGTGTGTGTGTGAAAATATCCATATATCCATACTACAAACATATATGACAAGAAAACAGAAAGGAGACTACATGGAAATACTCAGGGAAGAAAGGAGAAGGTAATGCAATATGAATACAGTCAAACTCAAAGTATATTGCATACCTGAAGGGCAATGTCATTATAAAATTTTATACACGACATAAAGCATTTTTTTAAAAAATATACAGGTTCTGTACCTCAGCTGGTTCCATTTCATTAGTTTTACCATCTTCTTTTAAATCTTCAAATAATTTGTCAAATTCCATTTTGAGCTATAGTTAAAAAATAATAAATACTGAACAAACCAATTAAAGTGAAAACTGCATGTAATTCATAGATTTCAGATCACTTTCACTGAACAAGTCAAATGACCAAGTGTACGTAAAATAAGTATGAGATACTAAACTATTCACTGAAAAGCACTACAGGTGATTTTTCTATAGAAGTAAATGTACTCATTTCAGATGAATACACAAAAGAGCTACAAAGGACCAGGGATATAGCCTGCTGAGAGAGCACTGACCCCAGCATTTACAAGGCCCAATCCTAATGCTACTGAAAGGACAGTAGTGACATCCTCAGGTACCAGTCACAGTCCTGTCACAAATGACCCTGCATGTTTAGGCAGAGAATTATGGCCTGTGTCTTATTTTCATAAGATCAGGAACATGAAACAAATTAAACTCTCCCACTAGAACTCTATGATTCTATTAGCATTTAAACTACTAGATACATGTAACTTGCTATGTTCTACAAAATGTTAGATAATTTCATTATTAGGCTAATTTAGCTGATCATTTAAACTGATCAGGGAAAACTGTAACTGGGAAATAAGAAGAACACCTCTATTGGATAAACAGATATAAAATGTTTCAACATTTTTGTCTAAAACTACTAGTGGATAAACAGTCAGAAAAATGTTTTAATGTTATTGTCTAAATTATTTATATTAATACTAACAAACACTATATATATTTTTTTCAGAGTAACTTGGTCTAACAACATCCTAGATTACATATTAGGCAAAATAAGTAGAGTAACATCAAAGATTTTAAGGTTTTTAAGATTGAATTTGCAACCTTACTAAAGAAAGAGAATAATTTTCACATTCTAGTGTTTTTTATCACGACTTTAGACATTCTGAAAATTTAAAATACAAAAATATAATATACACAGTATATTTGTGATTTTACGTATGTATGACTGTGTATATGTGAATCCACCCTTCTTTTCATAGATCTAGCTAATTAAAAATATAGTGATGTTTATATCTGTACTATAGTGTAATATAATGTAGTATAGTTAATATCTGTACTAAGCTTCTAGCCTCTATACAAACACTTCCCTTGTCATTGTTTCCTAAATAATACAGCCTAACTACTGCATATCTTTTATACTTACAGCAGATATTATAATTAATTTAGAAATTATTTAAAATATATAAGATGTGCAGTGATTCTATAAAAAAAGTTACCTTTTTTTATATATAAGAGATTGGATGGTTCTAGTTTCTGTGAATTAAAAGGGATGACTATAGTTCTTATCACTACTTATGTTTGCAGATGAATATCTACATTCTATATGATGTACAGTAATTTTCATTATAATTTTATTAACATACCTAAAGATCACTAATACTAGCACATACATATTTATCCTGTTCTTTTAAACAACAACTTTTATCACTAAAAATTTAATTATAGTAAAAATAAAAGCATACCTAAGGCAGGCATGGTGACAAACAACTGTAATCCAAGTATTTGAGAGGCAGAAGCAGGAAGACTAGAATTCAAGGCCATTCTCAGCTACACAGTTGTGGTGGTTTGAAAGAAATTGGCCCCCAAAGGGAGTGGCACCATTAGGAGGTATGTGGCCTTGTTGGAGTAGGTGTGGTCTTATTGGAGGAAGTGTGCCACTGTGGAGGCAGGCTTTGTGTTCTTATATTTGCTCAAGCCATGCCAATGAGACAGACCACTTCTCATTGCCTGTGCAAGATGTAGAACTCTCACCTACCTCTCCAGCACCATGTCTACCTGCATGCCTCCATGTCCCACCATGATGATAATGGACTGAACCACTAAACTGTAAGCCACCCCAAATAAATATTTTCCTTTATAAGAGTTACTGTGGTCATGGTGTCTCTTCACAGCGATAGAAACCCTAAGACAAAAGTGATTTAGAGGTAAGTCTACAATGAGACCTTGACTCAAGATAAAAATGAACAAACAACAAAAAGCTTACCTGTTCAGTTGTCATCTGTACTGTAACATGACTTGGCATATTATAACTTGGTCCAGCTCTTCCAGAGCCCCAATTATTCTCCAAACTCAATCCTAGAGCTATAGTAGTTTCCAAATGGAAAAAAATAAAATGACCAAATAAAAAGAAATTAAGTACCAGAAATAAACGTAAATACGAAATAATATTAAAAATTCCAGGATAACTGGACTGCTACTCACATCACCAGGGAGGCTACCTGGAAAACAGGACCCCAAGAAAGACATGGGGATCGCCCAATGACAGAGAAATGGAAGAGATGTACATGAATAGCCTGGACATAAGTGGGGGTAATGAAGGGCGAGGGTCAAGGGAAAGAGAACTTGGGGGAGCAGGAGATCCCAGCTGGATCAACAACAGAGAGGGAGAACAAGGAATAGGAGACCATGGTAAATGAAGACCACATGAGAATAGGAAGAAGCAAAGTGCTAGAGAGGCTCACAGAAATCCACAAAGATACCCCCACAACAGACTGCTGGCAATGGTCGAGATACAGTCCGAACTGACCTACTCTGGTGATGGGATGGCCAAACACCCTAATGGTCATGCTAGAAACCCCATCCAATGACTGAGGGATCTGGATGCAGAGATCCATGGCTAGGCCCCGGGTGGATATCTGGGAGTCCAATTAGCGAGAATGAGGAGGGTTTATATGAGCGAGAATTGTTGAGACCAAGGTTGGATAAAGCACAGGGACAAATAGCCAAACAAATGGAAACACATGAACTATGAACCAATGGCTGAGGGGCCCCCAACTGGATCAGGCCCTCTGAATGGGTGAGACAGTTGATTGGCTTGATCTGTTTGGGAGGCATCCAGGCAGTGGGACCGGGTCCTGTGCTCACTGCATGAGTTGGCTGTTTAAAACCTGGGGCCTATGCAGGATCGCTTGGCTCGGCCTGGGAGGAGGGGACTGGACCTACCTGGACTGAGTCTACCAGGTTGATCTCAGTCCGCAGGGAGGCTTTGCCCTGGAGGAGGTGGGAATGTGGGGTGTGCTGGGGGGAATGTGAGGAGGGCCGGAGGGGGGAGAACAAGGGAATCCGTGGCTGATATGTAGAACTGAATTGTATTGCAAAATAAAAATAAAAATTAAAAAAAAAAATTCCCACAGAACTGGGCCTGTAGCTCAGTGGCAGAGTAATTGCCTAGCATGGATATTACCCAGAACTAAATATATTATGACAGAATATAAAAAAAACAAAACATAATGTATATAAGTGCTCTACCACTGAACTATATACCTAGACCTAAAAAAAATTTTAAAGCTAAATACTAAATCATTCCCAAAAGAAGAAAAAATCGCATTATTATTTGAATAAATTCTAAGCAAACATCATTTATTTTTACTCTCTACTGAGCAATTCTTCCTCTCCAAAAGTTATAAAAACAAATGTTTAAAATGAAGAATTATGTTAACATTGAGGAAAATTAAACAGGGTACACTGACCTTTCTTGTGTATTTTTGTATATGGATGAATCTATAGTTACAAACATGCAGTTCTATATTTGGACATATAATAGTGGGACCATAAAATTAATTACCTCATTTTGCATGAGTAGTCTCTGATGGTTACACAATGACAAAATCAACACATTGATATAGTCCTCAGAATCTGTCCTGTTGTTAAATTATACATAATTGTATTTCAATAGAAATATAAAAGGAAAAGTCAGCAATTTCTTCAAAGGATTAAAAAAAAAGTTATAACTCAGAGTATTTTGCATACGTTACTTTAGCCAAACAAATTCAAGGAGACTAATTACTTTACAATCCCTGCATTTTACAAGATCAAACTTACCTTTTGGTGTTGGACTCAATTTAAATCCATGTTTCTTCAACTGATCTAAAACCACTTTTCTATTTTCTTCTTTTCCCCAAAAAGTCATATGAAGAGGCATGGTAAAAGCATTATTTGCACCAAAAGGAACTACCCTATTATAGTAAGAGGAAAAAAAATGAGAAATTGAAAGTTATTTTTATATTAATTCTGAATATATTAAATATATTACTCAAACACAAAAATGCAAAACAAGAAGGGATTATTTAAGCAAATTTGAAAAACTTAAAAAGAAAATTATCAGAGGAAGAAGTAATTTTTATAACAGGATGTCAAAAAAATTTGAGATGATAGGATAAAGTAGTTTACAAAAGATAGCTTACATCCAAGATTGGAAAATAAACAAAATAATGCATCTATTTGTGAGGACAGTTTTAGCATTCAATGTTCACTAAAAATTTATTCTCGACTGGAAAATGTTATAAAGGAAAAAGCAAAGACAAATCTAACCACTTATTTTATCTTCCACATCAGCTGGGATGAATATTCTAAGCATTATGATTGGGGTATAACTATCCAAAATATTTACACTAAGATAACAAACACAAACTCTAACAGAGAATAAGTAGCCAGAATGAAAAATGAAATGCTAACAATAATGAAAAACAAAATGGTGAAAAAACTGGCAGAGCATATGCCCTAGCTAAAGGGCAGCCACTTCCTAAGTCCCAGTCAATGGAAACCATGTGCCAGACCTATCTTTTATCAAAAGAAAATTCTTAGTAAGTTTTACATTCAGAAAGAAAATTATTATATAGAAAATATAGAATATCTAGATTTCATTTCCAGTAAGAAATAAAGAAAACTCTAAAATGTGCAAGTGAGTTAAGCATGATGGTGCACATTTCTAATTCTAGTACACAGGAGGCTATGGCAGGGTTAGGAGTGCAAGGCCAGGTTGTACTAGCAAAACCCTGTCTCAAAACAAAAGCAGAAAAGATAAACACCCCACTATCATGAAGTCCCTCTGGTAACGCATGCCTGTCATGCCAGTCCTCAAGAGTCTGAGGCAGAAGACCACCATGCACAACTGCAAGAGACAGGATAAGGACATACTGTACCCTAATACATAAACCCATTTTTTTTCTCCATGGTAATAATGTAATAAGGAAATAAAAGTAAAGCTCTTTGATGGCTAGATAGGAAAGGCAAAGAAGAAAACTGAATACATCTCAAAGTAGTGAGGTATGGTGCCATGACATTTCCAGAGGCTCGGGAAATGCTTACATATTCAAAGATAACTAAAAATCACAATTATTAAAACTAACTCTAAAAGCACATACCCTTCCACTTGTGCCAATTTGTTGTCCATGATATAGGCCAAGGCAGCTGCAAGATCTCTCTTTAAATAGCCAACCTGATTTTCATTCACATTACTTACTTTAATTGCATTCTTATCATAGGGATTATTAGGCTCTTGTTGTAAAGAAACCATTTCATTATTATTTACCTAGTAAAAATAAGGAACAGATAGTAATAATATAAATATGAACAGTAATAACTTGACTTCTTTGTACTGTTTCTAGAATTTCTAATGATGCATTACTGCTAGTTTTTCTTTTTTCTTTTTTTGTTTGCTTGCTTCAGACAGGGTCTCGTGTATCCAAGGCTGGCTTCAAATTTGCTATATAGCCAAAGATGATCTTGAACTGAAGATGATATTGAACTTTGATACTTCTGCCTCTATCTCCCGAGTGCTGAGATTACAAATATGTGCTACCACTCCCAGTTTATATTCTGTTGGGAATTGAACCCAAGACTTAGAAAAGATTACAAAGCAATCTATCAACTGAGCCACAGGTTCAGCTCAAACTAGAAATATTAAGGAATATATTTTACAATGATTCTTCTACTCTAGTTTTCTAACTTATATTCATTAAGAAGCCAGTAAGTCTTTAAGATATGAAATGTACAGTTAAGTCTACCTTGAAGATTCATATCATGTACATTTTTCAAAGTAGCTAATCTTTAGATATATGTGCCCCAAAATGGTATGACTGGGTCAGAGACATATGCTCATCCATGTTCATATTTACCCTATTCATTACCACTAGGACATGGAAATAGCCTATATGTCCATCAACTTATATGCTACGAGCCGCAGGAATATAGTAGGAATTCATCTGAATATGGTAAAGCTATACCTGGAAGAATCAGGGAATTCTTCTGGAGGAACCCAAATCTCAAGGAATATTTGGTGTTATTCAGCTTTTAATGTACCAGCTGTTTCCTGATATGAATTTCTTGTGCACTCTCATACCTTCCCCAAGAACTCCTAACAGTATATTTTATCTGATATACTTCTCTAGCACCCAAAGCCAAAAGGCAGACAGGATAAAGCATTTCAGACCAACCACTGAGTCTCCTGAATTTACCTTAGTAAACACCCTTACGGAGACACCGCCTCTGTGTCCTGGTGACCTTGCCTTAGCCAGAGCATTGCTATTGCATGGATATATAACTGTAAACCTCAGAGACTTGGGGAGGACTAGATTGGAGAACTAGATGGAGAATCAGAAAGACAAAATGGTAGATGAGGAAGAGCCTGATGAGGAAGAACTAGATGGGTAAGATCAAGACGAGAAAGACCAAGATGGGGCAGAACTAAGATGAAAGAATTAAGATACCACTTAGAGGGAACAGCAGAAAGATGTAGAGACATCAGGCAAGAAAGGAGCTAAGTATGAGAGCAGAAAAGAAGCAGTGTAGAGAGAGAACTGACTCAGAAGTATAAAGTGTATGGACTAAAGAGTTTCGTGTGCATAGATTTATTAGTGAACCACTCAGATTGATCCACTGCTGGTAGCATCTCTTCTGGAATTCTGGGTGAAGGCTAATCAAGGGGCTGGACCCCAATAGCTTTCATTACTGATAAAGAGTGAAAATGTGATACCTATATAAAATGGGATTTTATTGAGTTATAAAGAAAAATGAAATTTGCAGGTCAAGAGATGGAGCTGGAAAATATTACACTGGGTGAAGTAACCCAGACCCAGAGACCAAACGTTGCATGTTCTCAATCATATGTGGATCTTAGTGTCAAGTCTTTAGATCTGTATGTTTTATTTGGAGTACCTGTACAATCCAGGAAACTAGAAAGGGACAATGCAGGGGGTGCTTAAGGGTGGGAGAAAGAAGGTGATATGAAGGGGAAAAGAGAAATAACGAGGAGGTTTAAGTGGGAAGAGGGATGAGAGGTACAGCAGAGGAAAGGTTAAGGGAGAGATAATTAACATGATGTATGTAAAAAAGAAAGCCAAACAGAAATTATATATGTGTGTGTGTGTGTGTATGTGTATTATATATATGTATGTGTGTGTGTGTGTGTGTGTGTGTGTGTGTATGTGTGTGTGTGTGTGTATGTGTGTGTATAAAGTTCTCCCATATAAAAAGAGTTTAATTACAGTTACCATACTGACCTTCAAGTTGTCCAAGGAACTCCCAAAACAATACAGGATATTGTCTTGGCCCTTGGCTGCCCTCCATAACTTTATAGTAAGACAAGTGTGAAGACATCATACACACTGGCCACAGGATATACAGAAATGAAGTTGGTACTGACTTATTCCCTACTGACTAGCTTTCATAGTATAGGAAGGTGCTATGGAGGCTTCTGGGGGAAAAAAGTCATCAACAGTCTTGCTCAGCTGTGAACTATGTGAATTAGAATAATTACTGGTGTGGCACGAAATGTCCTTAGGTACAACAATGGCATGAATGTAATGGGAGTAATTAACCACTTTCTGTTTGGATTTATTTTTTATTAATATATGATTTCAATTTATATATGTACATTTATAGAAAAAGTATAGAATATATAAAATAAGTTATGTTATAATAAAGTAAGTTATGTTATAAAAACTCAATGCATTTTATCTATTTTTAAAATAATGAAGGTATTACTTATAAGACTATACAGTGGAAAAATGGGCTAAATATTTAATCAGCCTATATTCTTATTAGTTAACTAGTGTTATAGATAGAAATTATTCTAAAATCACATAAGATTAATAACTATAATCTATGAGATTAATAACTACAATCTAATACTTCACAAAATCATAATTTAGAAAACAATGTAAATTTTGCAATACTACAAATCTGAAATACCACAACTCATACAGAGATGTGAGAACCATAGAGCAGTTAGATACCAAATTAAGAATGGATAAATTGCTAAAAGGACTAGAAGAAAGAAAACATTTCAAGATCAAAGACTGGAGTAAAATTAACACAAGTGTTAAAAAAGCATTTGAAAAACATGGTAAGAAAAATAGCAGAAAAACAGAAAAATGAAAAATTATGGTAAAAAATATTCAGAGCCGGTAGAAGACATAGGTAGTATAGAGGTAACAAACAGCAAACAGAACAAGTAAGAGAGAGGAAGTGAGAGAATACGAAGTTTCTAAAAAAGAAATGGCTTTGGAGTAAAGCAAATATTTAAAACTATAATTACAGAAATTTTTCTGAAATAGAAGGAAATCAATTATAGAACAAATACTTTAATAAAACTATTAGACTTTTAAGATGAGAATATCTTTTAATTATCAGGCAAAAAAATTCCAATTCAGTTAAGTGGGAAAGAAAGTCCTACTGACATCAAAATTTTCACTAACAATATATTATGCAGCATTTGGATATAAAGAAAAAATATGGATCAAGCACTTTATATTTAGCCAAAGTAGCAAATGAAAATTATGAATTTACAAAAACTCAAGAAATAATTGTTCTTCTCTAAGTAATCTCCTAGATTGCACATCTCATACTAAATAACATGAGATGTTCGAACATAAAAATACAGAGGATGAAAAACAAGACAAATGGGAAACACAAAATTCCCCCAAAGTATCTCCTGATAACTTACTGCAATTAAAAAAAAAATGTTCTGAAGCTATCAAGTACTCAGAATGCGGACAAGTGGACCACTTAGTTCACTCTGAGTTCAAGGTCAACCTGGACTACTTAGTGAGTTCCAGGCTATAGAGTTAAACCCTGTCTCAAACCCCTGTCCTCAACAATAACAAAAATCTTTTAACAAGCTTTAAAATAAAAATACAAGAGAAGGAGAAAAGTAACAAAATCAACAAGATTCCACAAAACAGACCTTGTTTTTGACACACAAATCTATAACAGGAAACCAGAGGGGGCCTTATAGCCCATAACAGCCAAAGATAATAAATACCTTAACCCTGTTTTGATACTAACTGAAAAAAAGACATTTTAAATAATCAACAGAATTCAATTATTGTTTATTACATATAAGTAATTGTTAATTTTGTTAATGAAAATGAAATGTAAAAACTTTTTTTAAAAGATGTATTTTATTTCTAATCACGTATATGTGTGTATTCTGGCGGGGTTGAGGGGATAATGTGTGAGTACCCATGTATGCCAGAAAAGGGCACTGGACTTCTGGAACTGTACTTAAAGGGAGTTGTGAGTTGCCAGCCATGAATGCTGAGAACAGAACTCCAGTCCTCTGCTAGAGCAGCCAAGCGCTCTTAACTGCTGAGTCATCTCTTCAGCCCCCAAACTACATTTAAATATATATATATATACTGAACTATACTAATATAAAATGATACATTTAGTTTTGTTTTTACAAAAGATCAAAGAAAAAATAAAGCAAATATAGAACATACTTGTTAACCTCTGAATCGTATTCTATGTTTGAAATTTTCTTATGATAAATTAGACAAATATTAGAAGTATTATCCAAATAACAAAGATGACTGTAATGAAGATTACTGTCCAGAAAAAAACTATATATATTCTCAATCTGTCCCCTTTTCTTTCTCTCACGCACACACACACACACACATACATTCATTCATTCATTCATTCAATTCAGAGAACAGTGATACATACAAAGAAAAATCAGGAGCTATTCTTACTATAACAATAAAGGAAAGAACCCAAAAGTAAATGATTAACTTACCTAGTAAAAAAATTCATGACTTCCTAAATTCAGCATATATTTTCTGCATTTGGGGCAAATCATTTAACCATCTAGATCTCTATCTTCCATTGAGGAAGAGTACCGCAGTAATTACAAGGATCAAATGACAGTGTGAGCAAAAGTGCTTTATATACTGTAAGCATGGTTCAAGTCAGGAGAGGGAAGCCAGGAGGGGTTGGTCTGTGAGCAGGCTCAAACTTAACAAAGACAAAATTGTAAAATCCTTATCTTATAAAAGTTACTAACTTGTAAACTGTTAGAGTTAATTAAGGCATGGAAGTCAACTTCATTAATATGGTCAGAACTATGTTTGTAGTTATGCTAAGCACAAACATAATTCATTCACAAGCACAACTTTTAGCTTTCTGTATATGGTGTTAAGGTTAAGCCTGAAGCAAGTTAACTAAAAACAAGTAAAGTTTGTTTAAAATCAGGTATACTTAATAGAATATGGCCCTCAAGACCTCTCAGAGATCTGCTGAATATGGCATTTAAAGTGTTTAATGAAAAAGCTTCCTGTGATAGAAAAGAACTGCAGCTACTACTGGTGACCCCAAGGTCTCCAAAGAAGAAACTGGGGCACAGATGACTCCACCTGGACAAAGAACTGTTCCATGCCTTGCCTGATGCCATGGTCCTGCCCAAACTGTAGACACTGTTGGGTTTACTGCCCTATTCTGCCTGGCTAAGTTAGGTCAGTTTTTCCAAGTTTGTCATCCACAGGAAAGTCTCTCAGACTGTCTGGGTTTCACCTTTTAATATAATTTACTCTGTTAAAACCTATAAGCATATCACAACTTTATTTAGTATCTACTCTTATACTCACTACTCCTGTGTAATAGCGTAGTCCAACAACTTGACCTCTCAAAGTTCCAAATAAAACGGAATCTAGCTCTTCATCACCAGTTGGGAAGTCATCTGGAGGGATAACATCTTGGAATTCAAAACGTGGAAAGAAAGTTGGGTATGAAAGTCTTGGAAAATTTCCATGGTCTCCATACTGGACAGACTGCAAATACTTCCAAACAGGATGCCTATTTTAAAAAAAAAAAAAGCACATTAAAACCAGAACTTAACCAAGCATTTCTCAAAAAACACAGTCCAAGAGTATTTTCAGGCCAATCACTTCCTTACATTTTATTTCAACAAACAAAATGCTATGTGGCAAATATTACTTAACAATTACCCTGCCTAAAGCAAGAACTGAGTGGGGAAAGTTACCAGGATAATCTGACCTGTTAAATACTGGAAATTCTTTCCTGGTAAAGCTATATATTTACATTAAAATCTATATGACATCTGAATCTAGAATTACATGTCAACATTTTCAATACCAACTAATGAAGAAAAGATGGATTTATAAAATAAAATTACCATTGTATATGTTATTTTCTCTTGTTTTGCTTTTTGTTTTTTTGAGACAGGGTTTCTCTGTGTAGCCCTGGCTTAACAAGAAACTAACTCTGTAGACAGGCTGGCCTTGAAATCAGAGATCTGCCTGCCTCTGACTTCTGAGTACTGGGATTAAAGGCGTGTGCCCCACAGTCTGGCTATAAACGTATTTTTAACTTTTGACATAAATTCATCCAGCATCCTCTGCTTTAACCTCTTCAGAACAGAACACATTTTAATTCAGGTATCTAAACTATGGCATCATAGAAAGCTGACCTGAAGGTCCCTTACCTATCCATCCCTGTTATTTTAAAGTTAACTTCAATCTTAAGGATAATTATTGCACAAACGGGCATGAAAACCACTGTAGATGATTAAAAGTGATGTTTGCTGGAAGCCTTCTAGAAGTTGTCATTCTCCTCTGCAGATATATATTAGCACGCTTGTGCACATTACCGTCAGATACCCCGAGTCGGGCTGTCTCGGAGCTGATACAATAACAATTGTAGAGTTCCGTGGAATAACAATGTCTAGAGCACAGTGGGTAGCTAATGGGTGTTTTGATGAATAAGGCACTTCGGGTGGAACTTCAGACCCCCACAATCAGTGAAGATTTTCCGAGGCGCTGGCAGCAGACCCTCGGGTCAGCCGAGACAATGCATTGGCGTCTCCGCGAGCCACACCCACAAGCGACCCGCAGAAGGAACACAAGCTGCACCTATCGCCAGGGGGCGCACGTTCACTTGAGGACAGCGCAGGGCCACCGGCCTTGCGCCCCACCCCCTCAGCCCTTTCACCTCTTGAACATCCAGGACATGGCGCCGGGCGGGGTGACCTCGGGATGCCCTGGGCGCCCCGGACCTTCTCAGGACGCCTGGAAAAGCTCCTCAAGGTCTCGCGACCCAGGCACCAGGAACCAAACCGAACCGTGAGGCCGCAACCCTCGAGAGTAACGCCGCGGGTTTATTTAGAAGTCGACACCCACAACTTCCAGCAGCAGAGAGGCCAGTGACGTTAGTGATCGGCACTGCAATTGTCCAATCGAAACGAAGAAACTGTGGTTACCAACCAATCAGAGTATGGGAGGGCGGGGAGCTCCTCTGGGCGTGTGATTCAAAGGCAGTGGGATGTCTCGGAGGTTGCATCCGGGTTCTTTCGCGACCCGAGAGCAGTTGCGCGGGAAAACTTCGAGGCCTCTTAAGTGAGCCACATGGCTTAAGGGTCCATGCCGCACGTGGGTAGAAGACTTCTTCCAGTGCCCCAAAACCATAAGGATGTCCGCTTAGGTCTGACCCTCCCTAGCCCACCTCATCTGATGTAATGCCTTACAGGACCTCCCCTAGAGGGAGCTCTGGGTGGAATGCCTGCCTGATTTCCTCTGCTACCCTGTGACTATATTTGTTCTTAGTAATCTCAGTGTATGCAAGACCCTAAGTTCTGGAAATCTGAGTGAGAACATAATTTCCCTCTCCCACCTTATTTTATTGTGTTTAAAGAAATTTTCATCCCTTAGTAGAAGAAAGCCATAAAATAGGACAACCTTACAACTCTATTGCTGAAAGTGGCAGGCTGGTGTAGCATTAGTTAAAGGTGAAGTGGCAACTGTGGTTTTCCCCAGGAAATCGAAGGAGGCACTATAAGGAAACTTTATAACATAAAGGGAAATTCAGGCCTTGAAGTTGTGTGTGCATCGGTAACAGCCGAGGTAGAGGCGATTCCTGCACCTTGAAAGACAACAAAACCGATATTAATGCAGTCTTTTTAACTGACGCATCTTCACCTGCACCTAAAATAGAAGGCTAGTGGTGGCGCTGAGTCAAACATAATACGGTGTGCTGTAAACCATCAGAATTGCTAGATGTATTTGTAAATGTTTTAAATCCTTCCTAGAGTAGTCCATTTTATGCTTCCATCGTCAGAGTATGAAAGGTAAGATAGTTCTTAAGTGGCCTGTGTGTGTTCATTATTTTAAATAATGATGATCTGTGAACCAGCAGTGGAATGAGAGCATTTTAAGGTGGGCTGCTGGCATGGCGTTCTGGGAAATGCTAATGTCAACAACAAACAAAAAACAATTCACTTTAACAGGATTGAGAGGCAAATTATCAGTGAACATGACCTGGGAACACAGATTTAGATCACCCCAAATGCTTTGTTCCAACTGAAGCTATTTTGTGAAGTTTTTGTACTAACAGAACAAAGAAAGTTGTAAATCAAGACACTTTTCAAATACATTTGGTGGGACCATTAGGGAGGTAGAAAAAAGCATAACTGGAAATCTTTTTATAAGCCTAAGGCACTAACATTATCCTTAGCTTTTTAGTTTATTGAAAACTAGTGTTATATGTACATTCCAAATGATTTACCAAATGGTCACAAAAATGTGTTTACTATAGAGGACAATAAATGGCTATTAAGAAGGCAAAAGGTGGGCCAAGATCATTTGGCTCTGGGATTGCAGCATTCCAAACACTACACAATCATTGTAGCTCTAAACAGTTAATCAGCCTTGCAGAAGACTCATTTGAAGGTGTATCATCTTGCCTGGAATTTTTGTGCATGTTAAGCATCCACTGATAGAATCTGAAGCAATTATTTCATTCCTCCAACAGAAAAAAAGGAAGATGATAACTTCCTTTCAGTTATTGTATTTTCTTCATGATGTATTAGGATACAAATGGCAAAGTTTGAATTTCTTTTTCAGTAGTGGGTATTGAATCCCAGGGCCTGTCCAATATAGGCTAGCTCTCTACCAGAATGCTATATCCTCAGCTTTTATTTTACTTTTATCTTTGTGACAAGGCCTCCGAAAGTTGCCCAGCCTGACCTTGAACTAAATGTAGAGCCCAGGTCAACTTTGACCCTGAGCAGAAGCCTCAGCCTCCACAGTAGCCTGTATCATCAATCACAGCTAATTAGCTGATTACATTTTATATGTAAAATTAATAAAGCCATGCTCATTGGACTAAAAGATAAAATTCCATATACCATGGTTCTCTCAAGACATAGCATCTTTTTCTACTGAAAACAAAAACCCAAACTCCAATAGCAAACACAACCCATTGTCAATTTCAGCATTGTCTTTTAGCCATAAAACCAATGTATTTACTCAAGTAATAATGTAGAAAAGAAGCCCTATACAAGCTTCTTTTGCCAAAGAGGTTGCCATCATTCACCTGAGTTTCATTTGAAAATTGGACTGAAAATGTTCCAAAACAATGCTTCCTTAAGCTACTGCCCAAATATATGTAAATATATATAATTCATGTTTCTATAGTATCTCTTCATTAAAAATATGCCGTATAATTTTCTAATTATACTATCTATTTTCAAATGCCTAGAATGGTTGGTATTTGGTGTTTGATAATTACATGTTGAATAAATAAGACAGGAGGATTTCTCTGAGGCTGAGACTATCTAAAGGGAATACAGAAAAGTGTGATATAACAAGACACCCAACAATTTCTTGTCACTTCAGAGTATATACCCTGCATGCATGAACAAACATATATATCACACATATATTCACATACACAAACACACAGAAAAAGAACCTAAGAAAAGAGAAAAAATGTTATTAATTCACAACTGTTTTTTCTTACATAATCAGGCACCAATTCCATAGCAAAATGCTGGGAAAACCATAGCTGGGAGAATTAAAAAAAGTGGTAGAAAATTAATGCTGAGTATATTTCTGCTTGGTTAATTAGTATCAAGTTTAAACAAGGAATAATAGGGCTGGAGAGATGGCTCAGCAGTTAAGAGCACTGGCTCCTCTTCCAGAGGACCTCGGCTCAATTCCCAGCACCCACATGGCAGCTCACAGCTGTCCATAACTAGACATAAATGTAGGCAAAATACTAATGTACATAAAATAAAAATAAATAAATAATTTTTTAAAATGTATAGTATTATCTTTGCTATTATCCTTGTAAAATGAGTTATTCAAATGACTCCTTCAACCCATAATGAGCAATATCATTGGTTGAGGTCTGCTTCTGAATGATGTTCAGTGTCAAGGTTGTTCCACAAATAACAGAGTAATGCAGTATCCAGAAGCCAGTTATTTTTCCATATATCCTTGAAGCAAACTGAATTGTTTCAAATCTAAAGGCAGAAGATAGGTTCACCTCAACTCCTACCCATTGAAACACCAAGAGATGCTTTCTTTTAGGCCTATATCTACTGGATGTTCCAAAACTGCTTGAGATCAGCTTTTTCCTTGGCTTCCTGTCCAGGATCCTTTTGTTGTTTTTAGACTAGGTCTCACTACATAGCTCTGCCTGTCCTGAACCAGGCTGGCCTCAAACTCATAGAAATCTGCCTGTCTCTGCCTTCCTAGTGCTGGGATCAAAGGTGCGCACTATGACACCTGGCTCTGCCCAGGGTCCTTTACCACCTCTCCAAGTCTACCTTTGTATAGAAATGTTAAATGAAATTATTTCCAGCTACTGTCATGACCATGACAAAGCTATCTGTTTTCTTTTACATAATAAATCCCGGAAAGATTGATGAACATTTTCTGCCTACTTTGTGGCTAAAAGATTAAAAGACTAAAACTTCAACTCTATATTCAATTTTGATATAATAAAATCTAATTTTTATGTAGGAAACTGTTATATTAGTAAATCTGTGTTCACCAAACTGTCAATGTCTGACAATCATACAAAAGACAAACTAAAGTTTAACTTGTTATTTCAAACACTCTTTTAGAAAGTAAAGGTTTAAAATCTAAGAATCATATTTCTCAAATCTAAAGAAAACATCGCAGTAGATCTAAAAAAACAAAAAACAAAAAAAAAAAAACTTACCTTCCTGGTTTAATAAATTTAGAAGTTCTACAAGACTTAAGTGTAGATGTAACCATCTTATTAAAATAGAAACACAGAGCCAAATGCAGAGTTGAAAGCCCAAGAGGTCAGAGCAGTAGCTAAGAGCTAAAAACCCATTCTTACCCTTCACTGCTGCTGCTGTCCTTCCTGTCAGCAAGAGGCCTACTTCCTGTGTGTCTGTCTGTGGGCCCTGGCCCCCCACTGTGAGTGGCTGCCACCTTGCTTGCTGACCTTGACCAGATGTCCTCCCTATTCAGATTCCCTGCCGGTTTCCTTCTCACCTAACGATCAACCAGAGGTTCTTTGTTCCTGTATCCTGCATTTGGTGTAAACAGCTTAGATGCAAGAATGTAGCGAACTTCTGCCCTCCTGGGATCTGCCATTGTGCTGTAAGCCTGTATTTAAGGTTTCCTCCTTCTTTCAATAAATGGCATTCGGCATTCAGCCATGGCGAATGACTCACTGTCTCTTGTTCCTTATTTTTTAATCCACAGCCCCTCACTCAGACATGGTGAACAGGTAGTGGTTGCACGGGTGTTACCGCAACATCTGTCTTTTTATTGACTTTCTGTTCTGCCTTCTCATTGGTTGTAAACCCAACCACATGACCTCCTCGTTACTGCCTGTCTATACAGACCTCCAGGTCTTCTGTGGTTGGTACTGAGATTAAAGGCCTGTGTCTCCATGCTCCTTGAACACCCAGAGATCCACATAGCTCTGCCTCCCAAGTGCTGGGATTAAAGGCGTGCGCCGCCACCGCCGCCGCCACCGCCGCCGCCGCCGCCGCCGCCGCCGCCGCCGCCGCCGCCACCACCACCAGCTTCTGCTGTGGCTTGCTATTAGCTCTGAACCCCAGGCAACTGTATTTATTAACATACAAATAAAATCACATTTCAGTACAAATAAAATATCACCATACTTAAGTTTATGAACACATGAAGTTTTAGGGTATTATGCTAATATTCTATTGCTATCTTAAATAATGATTTTAATTGATGGCAATTTGAAGTTTAATTAGTAAATATATATCAGCCTAGCTAATCAATATGCTGACATTTCACCTTTCAAACATTATTAGATAAAGTGCTGGGTTAAAGAGAAAAAGATGCTACAATGGCATGCCTAAGAAGCACAAACCACTGATGATAGGAGTTTAACATATTGTAGTCAGCACAGTTA